CATGGGATCTCCAGATCAGCACATCAAGGCCTTTGAAACATCAGAATCTTCTAGGCTAGCAGACTTGTTTACTATTTTGCTCTACACTCCAAGCTGAAGTGTACCAAATTTGATAAAAAAAAATCAATATATGCATATATATATCTAAAGATCAAGCAACTTTATAAAGCACTGCCTCATATATTCATATGAATCATGTCAAAATTAGGATTCCAAATTCCAAAATAAGTCCTCAATTACTTGAGGGACCTTCATCTCCTCGGCATAAAGGAGGTTGAACAAAAGATTAAAAATCACTAAAACAACTGAAATTCATTTGTCTCAACGATGTTGCAGGGAAATTCACATCAAAGTTTTATTTTTGAATAAAAAATAAAATTGCTTTCCAGTGAACTTGATTTGTTTGTTGCTTGATCTTGTAAGTTACCATATTCAGGTATTAAATGTATAGAACATTAGTGATTGCTAACAATAAAAAGGTGTAAAAAGAATTCTGTATCTAACGCTTAGCATATAGGACGAGCAAGAAATGTTCACACTTTGAATAAGCAATAAATAGGATTCTACATGTGTTCCAGCTTTCGACTGCTACAATCAAATAATAAAAGATCATCAATTTACGTGTACTAAGAAATAATGCAAATCAAAGAAAATTAAATAGTAAAAAAAATATCTTTTTGTTCTTCTCTCATCATATCTGTAGTCTATATGCAAGCTGCATATCATTCTACAAGCACAAGTTTTGTGCAAATATATTGTCTATATGGTTTATCAATCTATGAAGTTCAGATGTGCTACAAGCAGCGATTTCAATAGACGCTCGGGTGCTCGGGCGAGACGAGGTGAGGCCTGAGCGCCTTGCTTCATGTCTAGGCGCCTCGCTTCAAAGAGGCGTCGCCTGGGCGCTCGCCCGAGCCCAAGCGTCGAGTGCATTGGGCGAGCGCCCGGGTTAAACCAGGCGACCGGACCAGTGTTTTACGTCTGGTTCAGTCTCCGGTGCTTTAGCTGGTTCAATCGAACCAACTAAAGCACCGATATCAGCCTCCTAGCATCCCTCTCGCGAGTTCCCCAACCCTAACCCTGCTCGTGATTCTGCCGATGACATTTCCTCTTTGCTGCCACTGGCTCTCTCTGATGTCGTTGCCTCTCTTCGCTGTCGCTGCTCTCCGCTGCTTGCTGTTTCTGTCGCTACTCGCCGCTCACGCTCCTGCTGCCGTTGCTACTTCTCTCAATCAGCAGCCTCAGTCTTACTCTTACACTACGCCCCCGCTACCGCTACTCGCCACTATCGTCGCTGCCGCTAGCGCTACTCGCCGCTACTGTTACTCTTACTCCCTCTTCTCACATCGACTCGATAGTATACTATTAACAGTATACTATTAACTATATACTAGTAACAATATTTTTTTATTTATTAGATTAATAATATATTATTTTAATTTTAATACTACTAATTTTAATTTATTTGAAATTATTGTTATTGTTTTGAATTTTGAGATTTTTTGTTAATGTGATATTGTGATTCTGCAAGATTTTTTCATTTAATATCATATTTATATTTAAATAATTATATTTATTAATTATATTATATATTTTTATATTTTAACGTCTCACTTCGCTCGGGCGAGCACCTAACGCCTCGGGCTTTTTTGGACCTTGGCGCCTAAGGCTTTTTAAATCACTAGCTACAAGTGAAAATTCAAATACAATAAAGAGGCACTAAAATAAAGTTCCGAAAAGAATTATAAATATATGCAAGAATGGAGCCTGAGAAAGAGTAAGGCATACAAACAATCACCCATGAATAATGTTCTCTAAGAGGTGCAGTTAATTGCATGCCAAGTATCTGAGTAAAGAAAACTTGGCAACCAAACCACAATAACAGATTACTTGATATATGATAATTACAAGATCATTACATGGCAAAGGATTAAGATACAAAGCATGGCAACACAAAAACTAACCTTTCTTCGGCTAAGGGTCTCTTACCCCCTTCCTTTTCATGGGCAACACCATTGGCAACATTCTTCATATAAAATGAGTAAAGAAATGTAAGATACATAAAATGGAAATAGTAAGCTAAAAAGGTAGTTCAAAATAATTCTGAAAAGTCCATACCATTCCCTCTTTCCACTTTATTGTTGTGCCAGTTATGTTAGTTGTTCCTTCATCATAAAAGGAATATGTCTTTGTCAAGCTTGCATCCTCAAAATATGGGTTTGGGGAGAAATTCTGGACGCATACAAAAACACACAATGCTGAGAATGATAATACAAGATGAACTCAATTGTTAGGCATAGAACATATAGCTCAGCAAAGAGAAAAGTTCACTCACAAAGGTAACGGAGTAGCCCGACTTCACATCTTTAGAGTCTTCCACATCTAAGGACACTAAGTACTTGAAGATCTGCAAGATGCTACAGAACTCGTCAAAAAAATTTGAAAAACTACCAACAGAAAAATGGTAAATTCAGAAATATGTACAAAAACTTTTATATGAATTCTTCTGCCAAGTTTAACTATTAAGTTGCACAAACACCAGACCTTTTGGTCTTCCTCACTTAGAAGATCACCAAGAACTGGATGGCTCAGAAACTGTAGACACAAATAACTCAAGAAAGTTAATTCAAAAGGGCAACCTTTCAGTTTCCAACATATCTGAAAGTTAAGAAAACATGTAAGTTCATAACATACTGCAGTTAGCCAGAAATCTGGAATAGATTGAATAATCTCATTCCGCCTCTTGTAGATAGGTCTGCGTATCTCATTATATTTCTGTTCCACCTCCAAGACCTTGTCACTTGCCTCCTCATTCACCTATACAACATAAATATGCTAAGATATGAGAAAGAAAAGAAATCAAGAATGCACCAGAAGAACTGATAAACTTTAAAAGATACAGACTCTTGGGGAAAGATCTCTGATGTTAAGGTATTGTACTGACTTGGCCTTAATATAAAGAAATTGAGAACTATTATACCACATATTGCTCCAAAAATTCTTGAAACAACAAGCATTTTTTTGCAATTTTATCCAGATATGATATAATGGTTTTCATATAGACTGCACTGGCAACAGCTTGACTGAACCAGAAAAAAAAATACAAATATTTGACAGCAGCTAATATGCAAAAAGCAGGATATAAATTTTCACAATTTGAAGGTTCTAACAGGAGATATATAATTGTTGAGATCCTTCTTTCGTCTGTCATATTACATGAACAAAGATAGATTCTGACCTCCAATCTAAATTGCACTGCCGTCTGAATAAACAAACAGCAAACTTAAATGTTTGAACTTGCAATACTTAACACAACGATGTAATCTGAACTTGCATTAAAAAAATGAAAATTTAAACAAATTTCATGTTGTTGAGTGTCTTGAGGCACGATGCGACAAAATGAGAAATAAAAAAAAAATAAAACTTCCCAATAATGAACTACGATTTCCAAGATTTCCAACAAAATTACGCTGTCACCAGAGAGTTAAGCGCAAAGCGATTCAATCATTGTACTAGAATGATGCCCACAACTAAGCAATCAAGGATACAACACCGAGTCGCAATCTGATGCTTCACGATGAAGAAAAATAAACGAAAAAAAGATATTACAGAGCCCATTACCTTCTCGATCTCATCTTGGATCTCCTGGAGCTTCTCAATGGAGAGCACGAGCTCGCCGTCGATGGGATCGGAGGCCTCCTCCTCCACCTTCGACTTCTTCCCCTTGTCCGCCACCATCTTCGCCGCTCACAAAATCCCCGACACCCAAAACCCTAACCCTAATTCCCAAAGCGACGAAGACGTAGCGACAGCGAGAGAGACGGACAGAGGAGGAGGGTTTTAGCCACCGGCGGTGATTAAACCTAAAGCGAAACCGGCCATGTGGCTTCTTTCTAAAGGCTGACATCTCGTCACCTCCCGTGGAATCACCGCCGTGCTATCTATGACATCTCGTCACCTCCCGTGGAATCACCGCCGTGCTATCTATGACATCTCGTCACCTCCCGTGGAGTCACCGCCGTGCTATCTATGCAGATGGCGGATGATCAAAAGTTAGAATTTTACGAGGTGACGTTACGGCAAGTGAAGTTTCGGAGATCACAACGGGTGCGGATGTTAGACAGTTCACCCGATCCGTTTCCGAAGTTGGCAGGCCTAACGATCGGTCTTATCCTCCGTTCGATCAATGACTACCATTCCCGATGGACGGCAGAGATGGCTTTTGGTGAAACGCACTCGCACTTGGAATCTCCGAACTCACAGGGCCCCACAACATGAGATGAGGGATAAGAATGCGCTCGGACAAACTACCAAGATCCATACCCGAAACGCTTTGCCACCCCAAAGTCGCTTCAGGTCTGTGGGGGCCTCTAGAAGATATCGGCGCGTAGACTCGATAGGTTTCATATTCCTCCACCCCCCCCTTTTTTTTTTGCCCTTTCAATGAGTTAGCTGTTTGCTGTCTTGAAAATAGAGAATTATATATATTATAGTACAAATGTTATTAATATTAAATTACAGTGAGACAATAGAACATGCATATATAATTCTACCATAAGAGAAATGATAGATGGAAAATTCTGATGATGAGATTTCTACACTTAGTTTCCACTAATATTACCTTGTGCCAATTCTGCTCCATAATTTCTTCCATATTTCTGATACTCCATGCAGTCACTGTCAATAGAGGAACATTGGGTTTCTGAAAAAAGGAAAGCAATCTTATTGATGACATCAAACAAGAAAATACAGCTATCCAATAAGTAGGAAGCAGTTTGGTGTATTCTCCAGTTGCCATCTACAGACGAACCCTAAAGATCCACAAATCACAAGTATTGCCAGAAGCCGAAAGCCAGTAGGTTCCTCTAAACACTGCAAGTAAACTTGTCACCTATCTTAACTAGAGATATGACCAAAAGGAGACGCTAGCAGCTGTCAATGGTAATTTTGATGTTACAACATATATATATATATATATAT